ATGTCCACATTGTCGAGGATCTCGGCCTGGGTGTAGCGCCGAGTCTGCTCGCCCTCGCTGGCCTCAAGGTAACTGGCGGAGCCCGAGCAAGGGGGGAAGGGCGGTCAAAAGGACCGTCGAAGCAGGAGGTCAGCACGGAGCCGGGCGCACAGGCACACGCACACACACACACACACACACAAGAGGGGGGAAAGAGACAAAGAGAGAAGGACACAAAGGGAGAGCAAGCGCGCGGGGGGACATGGAAGAGAGGATCCCCCGGGTAGAGGGGAGGGGAGTCCCGCGACATACCCAGCCTGCTCGGTCAGTAGGAGTTCCGCATGGTCCACGGCCTCCTCGGCTTCCTTGGCGAACTTCTCCGCCGCACGGATCGATGATGACGTGTGGCGAGTCCGCTCAGGACGGGCGCCCCGGTTGTGACGCAGGTCCTCGCGGCGGCGGATCACCGATTGCGGCGTCGCCAGGTGCTTGGTGGTGCCAGACATGGCGCAGAGAGAGTGGGCGGTGGCGGGAAGGGGGGTGGGGAGGAAGGCGGGGGGGGGGGGGGCATTTTTTCCCGGGGCCGTTCAATGGCCCGAGGCACCAGTGCCAACGCACCTGGATTGGCCGTTTCACAGAGGGGCCCCGGGTGAAGGAATAAAAGCGTCTTTCTGCCAGGTCACAGACTAGATGCCGGTTGGATGGCCGAGTGGTTAAGGCGCCAGTTTTAGGCACTGGTGGGAGACCGCGTGGGTTCGAACCCCACTCCAATCACAGTTGCATTTTTTTCGCGCGCCACCGCGCTCGTTTTTGTGGGACATCCGCGCCCCCCCCCCCCCCCCCGGGGCGGGGCGATGCACGGCGCGGGGGGGGGGGGGCGCCCGGGGGGGGGGGGGGGGAGGGGGGAAAACCAGGGTCCCCGGGGGAGGGGGGGAGGGGGGGGGGGGGGAGCAGGGGGGGGGGCGCCCCCCCCCCCCGGGGGGGGGGGGGGGGGGGGGGGCGGGGGACGGCAACCACCACGCCTCGTGGGGCTCGCCGCCGCGCGCCAGTGTCCTGGAGATCCCGGCCTTCCGCTCGGGCGTGTGGCCGCCTCTCGGGAAGAGCTGGATATTGGGGCTTTTTTATTCGGCCGGACACTGGGGGGCTAGAGTGCCAACGCAGAGTGCACCCCGGCGTCTGAAGAGACCACCGGCCGCTGGAAGAGAGGGCGCCGCCCCGGCGGGGTGGTGGTGGCGGAAATGGCACCCCTCTCCGCGTGCCCATATTTTGCTCCCGTCTCTTCTGGCCCCCTATCCCCTTGTGGCGCCTCTCTGCTCCGCTTTTTTCTTCGTGCCCTCCTCCCCCCCCCCCCGCACCGCCCCCCCCCCTGCTCCGCCTCCCCTCTCCCCCATCCTGGCATGCACTCGCGTCTCCCGCTCGCCGGTGGCGCGCCGGCGCCGATTCGC